CCAACCCGCGGGCCGCGACGACCGATCCCGAACCTCGCGCCGCCGCCGATCGGACCGGATCACCCCTGCGAAATCCCTCTGGGTTTGGGTTCGATCCAGGAGGGCAGGCGAATCCCGTGGTGCTCTGCTGGTTTTTCTCCTCCTCCCGCAGCCGCCCTGGGTTCGTTCTTAAACAGAGTAGTCTATACCACCAGCGCTAGCCTATCACGCCCATGCCCCCGCGTGGTTCCGCCGGGCGCAATGACCCTCCTGCCCCCCGCCTCGTTCGGGGCCGCGCCACTCGGCTTGGCGGGCAAAATGTCGCCCTACGAAACGCTTCCGGGGGCGCGATGCCGTCGGTCAAGCGGACGGCCGGGATGAGGTGGAGGATCGGATCGGGCGGTGGTGGTGGGATGGAACCGGGCTGGATGGGCCGCCTATCTCAGCGCGTGCGTGGGGAATCTCTTGCTGGGATCATCTTTCCTCGCGGAATCACCCACCAACGGCGGCACTGTACGCGGAGCACTGTTGGAGGTGATGTGTGTACGCGCTGGAGATATTCCGGTGAGAGTCGATTACAGGTGGGTCCGGGATGGGTTTTCTTCCTTTCCTTCTTTTTGCGGATGGGTTTTCTTTTATTCGGGGATGGGTTTTCTTTTATTCGGGGATGAGTTTTTTTCGATGCTTGCCCGGTTTTCGAAGGAAACAGTTTTTCTTAGGTAACAACTTTTGCCAATGAAAAAATATTTTCTTTTTGCATTCTGAAAGTGGGGAACTGAGTTGAAACGACAAAATGCTTCCGTCTTTTGAATGGGGTTTTTCGGCCCTAAAAGAAGGAAATGAACATGCACAAAAAGTTCTGGTCTTTAGAGTGGGTTTTTGGGCCCTAAAAGGATACAAACGATGATCTTCTCAAGAGGAAACAAATAGGCGATGGGAACGTGGACATGTTATGAGTTTGTGACAGCTGAAAGATTTGATCAATTTGGTTTCCTATCTTTTTTTCCATATGTGCCGTGGTTTATGTGATGTATGTGCTCCTATATAGAGAAAAACACTACGGTGGAGGAGGCTATTGTCATGGTAGCATTTACAACACCACCGAAGCAATTGACCTAACTTTTGTCCGGAATCTTTGCAACGCCAATTAAAGAAAGGAGAGGCACTATCTAGCCAATACACGCCTTAATTCTAGGAACAACGGCTTTTGTCAAGTGTTGGTATGTGGGCCATCGACATCTTTATAACTACAAAAAGCTCGTAGGCTAATGGAGTACAAAAACAGTAATTCAGGAGACACAAACAAGACGTATGAACCACATCGCAATTCTTTTCCGAGACTGGTTCATTGTGGCGTCGAGCAACTTGGTTCGAACATTATGAATTAGTACCATATATGAACGAGGCTGCATTAGGACAAAACATTTCATCTTTAGATTTTTTTTCGCGTTGTGAAAAGAGCGCAATTGATTATTTTTTTAGGATACAACAGGATATGAGTACATCAATACATGTTATGAGTTCATGGCAACAGAAAACTTTGGTTTGCTTTTTTCGCCGACGGATCATGGTTCGTGCGTTTTATGTGCTCCTAGATGGAAGAAAATGAAAAATGGCGGAGGTTATCATTGTCTTTTTTCTTGCGGGGGAGGTTATCATTGTCACGGACTCATGGGAGCGTTTGTAAAAGATGGGGCCAACCAGACCAACTTTTGTCCGGAATCTTTGCCACTCCAGTATTAAAAGTGGAAGCACTAGTCGATGTGCGCCTTAATTCTTGGAATAACGGTCTCGTAAAGCATCGATTGGTGGAGCAAAGTTATGTTTGTCTAAAAGTCATACTATAGGCTGATGAACATGCGTAGAAAATGATCCATAATAGAGAGAATCTCACACATGAACCGCAATTGTTTTTTTTTCAAGGAAAAAATGTACACTGGCCAACCCAATGTTAGTTTTTGGCAAGGTGTGCAAAAAACTTTTGCGTAGGCGCAAGGATAAATCAGCAACAAAATTCACTTATGACAGTCACTGGCAGAAGGGGGCCACGGAAATATCCGGCTCTATGACGGTGTCAACTGGCTAGGCAACACAGACCCGTGGTGGCCCGGGCAAGCGCACGTGCGATTCCCTAGCTTTCGGTGAAGCATCAGGCACCCAATGGAAAAACTCCACGTTTCGTCCGCTGGTTGGCTGGAAGAGGCGGTGCAAACAGTTGGGGACCTGGCCCATAGGAGCAAATGCTACACGGACACGTCAAATTCCACCACCGATCAGGTGCAATGTGACGGACTACTAATTAATCTCCATTTTGGTCAAATGCTCTGGCTATGTGGCATACAATAACGTCCTTTGCATATTTAGCAATGCTAGCATAGTACGACAAATGTAATGTCCACGGCTGCCAACGTTTTAACCTAGTGTATATCTCTGACATGGATTCCCATGTGGCACCATTTTTTCGGACAAGCGGGATTATGTGATTTATGTTGCTTGACATGGGTGCGCGTGATCTATTTCACATTTTCTTTTTGTTAGAACCGTGCTATAAGAACGACAAATATTGCACGATTTCTGCACGACCTTGTTAATCCAACCGCACACAGCCGCTCGATTAGCTGGTCGTCCAAAAATCAGGCATTAGTATCGTGTGCCAAGCAGTTTCGTTTTTGTTATTGCCAAGGTATGATCAATGTACACATGCATGCAAATTCATATTTACTAATTCTCATCTAGATGAGAAATAACAAAGTCTTATTTAACTCTTGCACCATTAGAAAAAAAATCCGTACGAATCTTCACGTAAAATCAAATGGTGTAGAAGTTAGATGTGATTTAATTAATTCTCATCTAGATGAGAGCTAGCAACACATATGTAATTTTATTTTATTTTTGCAGGAAAACTTGTATTACTCACTTCACACAGGCTTACAATCAAAGGAGTTAAGCTCAATGGCCTCCAGAGGTCCCGACCAAACCAGGTCATAGTTCTTCCCTCCATACGAGCAAAATTTGCCAGAGAGTTACTAACTTTATTTTGAGCTCTACTAACGTGAGTAATACTAGTTTTACGAAGACCCATGTATATACTCCCTCCTTCACTTTTGTAAGACGTTTTAGACATTTACGACAACACCTAAAACAGTTCAATTTCAGCTGTCTTAAGCGACTTACAAAAATGAAACAGAGGGAGTATTATTATTGCAATCTCCCACTTTTTTCTTTTGGTACAAATTTCATGTCACAAGTGTTTCGACACCCCACCAACCTAGAGTACATATAGTACTACTCACTGCTGGTCAATCAATTACTTATTTGCTCTTTGAGATGAACTGCATCTTGAGTAATTATGTTAATGCACTAGTAGGAATTTTGTATGTGGTTTATATCTACCTCTCCCACGCCTAGTCTGACACGTTTTTGAGTCAGCATAAACAAACTAGTTGTAGAACTTCGTTTTCTCCCTTAATATATTTCACATGCATCCCTCCTTTGCAATGTTCAGAAGAAAAAAAAAGGTCTACTAGGCACAATAGAATATAAGTATACGTCTAGGAGTATTATTTTTCTTGGTCAACCACAAAGTTTTATGTCCGTGGTTGATTCATTTATTGTCATACTGTTGATCAACAGTATGCGTGACTAGCTAGCTAATTATAAATGCACAAGTTGAAGCATCTGAGGTAGCCAATCAGAGAAGAATGGGTCCGGGGCCTCAGGTGCACAATGCAAAGTAGAGGAAAATCTCCTTTGTACCCATTTCACATGGAAACTAGAAGTAGAACAAAAGCACTTATTTCATGTATATTTTGGGTGGCAAACCAGTATTCGTGCGTTTGAGATGTACGGCGAAAGGCCCTTGAGATTTCCGAAAAAGAGCTGTGAATGTTTAGTTGAGCATGGGCTCCACTTACCAAATCGTAGCACTCTGGCACATGAATATGCAAAAATGCTAGACGTACAAAAGAATACAGGGCTTTACGGGTTCTTTTCATCTAAGTAACCAATCACAAACTTGCCTCCCCTGATTTTCAGGGGATGGGCCGCGTTCCTCATCTATTGACCAATCAAATTAATTCTCTTTGTAAAACCCAGTAACTCATTTGTACGTATAGCGTTACTCCATGAATATGCATGCATGTAGCTCGATTGATCCGGGGGTGTAGGCAGCACCACCACCAGTCAGACCGGACGGGGCTTGCCTGCGCCCCGGCGTGCGCCCATCCGTGCGCCGCTGACACGCGTCACCCATCCATGCCTCCCCCTCCCGTGGCCCTTTTTAGCCACAGAAAAAAAAACCCGGAAATACCCATCGACTAGTACAACGCTGCCCCGTCGTATTCCTCACCTCTTTCCCTTGGACCCGTAATACTTGCAGATCACCAAAACTGAATACAAAAATGGAGGGAAATAATCCCACCCAATCAGATCTCTTAATCCCGTCAAATCAAATCTCTTAATCCCGCCAATAATCA